GGGAGTGAATGTTGCAACCCAACATAGGCTATTAGTAATGGACCTAGAGGTAGGAGGAAGAGGAAAAAGAGGGTTGTGTATTGTCAACCTAAGATCAAATGGGGAGTCTTGGACTAAGAGCAAAGCGCCCGAGTGGGGGGGTTGTTGGCAACGTGGGCCTGGAGGAGTAATGGAGACACAAGTGGACCACGACAACGAGTTGTATTAGAAAAGCTGTCAGAGAGGTATTAGGGATCTCGAAGGGTTACTCTGGTGGACACAACAAGATCTGGTGGTGAAATTGAGAGGTTAAAAAAAAGTGAAAGCCAAACAAGGCCACAAGTTAAAATGCAATCTAATGCTGAAACAGTCAAACACAGGTAAAAAAAACCTCTTCAATTCATTAACAGCTTCTCACTATGGTCTGAAACTTCAAAAGTGAAACAAGGAATATCTTGCAAACCTTTAAAGACAACCACACATCAAACACACTGTAAACTCAATTTCACTTTTATAGATGTAACCTGTGAGGAGTCATTCGGAGTATTACATCTTGTAGAGAAAGTCATCCCTCTTTTAAAAACTAAATTTCACTGCATAAGTAACTCTCCGGTAAGTCCACTAATGCGCACCTCTACACATTTTTCAAGCCAATAATCAAGTCTAATGAAAAAAGCCAATTACTCCCCGAAGACTGAAATTAGACCATAAGCTTTCTATCAAAAAGTTCTCAATGTGATTCTCCAATGGACCAACTGATCATATAGAAAATAATCACCAATAAAAAGAAAGAAAAAATTCACTCTATTTCTTTTTCTTTATGCTAACACAAATTAGCCAAAGCAATGCAGTTGTATTGCAAAAGAGGAAGAGCACTCAGTTGACCATTATTCTCTATGAATGTGCGTATTCACTTTAAGAAAACCAAGTAAAAGAAGAGGCATAGAGTGCAAGTCAGAAGGAATTGTTAATTATCTAGTTAATTGAAAAGTCACGCCACACCAAAAAGTAATAATTCCACATGGTACATGTTGTACCCCAGCAGAAAAAAAAGAATAATTGTTTAATTTGCATATCTAACAAACTACATATCATGCTTGGTTTCTAATTACAAAAGATAGAACCATGAACACCCCTACACTTGAGAGTAACATAATTAGTGGCATAACTTCCATCTAAACTGACCTCTGTTTATGGACCATTGACAGAAATGCCTCAATCTTATATCTACAAATACAGAGATGCCGCAAAGACAATGTCCCTCTTGATCTTGGCAACGGCCTTTTTGAATTTTGCCTCAAGCCCAACATCCCCAACGGCTTTCGCAGCTTCTATTAGCTGCTGAAGAACTTCCTCCAGTCTCCTGATAGCCCTGATTAAACTGCCCTCAAACACCTGAGTAATTTCCATAATCTCATAAAACTTAGATCCTCCAGCCCAGGCATAGACAGCCTCCATGATATCAGGTCGGAATGAACTCACAAAGTTCTCAACATCTATTTGGACCTATTGAAAGAACAGAAGAGTTAGAGAATCTTTACATGTAGTTGCTCTTTTGGTTGCGGAATATGGAAGGTCTTCGATAATTAGTTTATCAACTCACACTGACAATTGAAACAGCTTCCACAAATTAAACTCATGTTACTAATTCAAAGCACTGATAGTGAAATAAATGTTTAATTGAGCCCGAAAAACAGAAAGTTGGATAATAACCTAATGACAAGCTCATTCAGCTATGGTATTCAATACCATAAAAATATCAGGCTTTATCAGCACAATCATTCACATGATGCATACCTTGCTGTCGAGCTGAACTTTTGCAACCTTCCGAGCTATATCCTGTAACTGTGCAAAGAGCAACTCAAGCTCTTCCCGGGGCTTTTGGGTATCCTGAAGCTTTTCTTGCCACACAAAACAAGAGAGAAGAGATACAAGCTCCTCCACTTCAATTTTGCCGAAGGTCCCATTCAACATCAATTCAGTCAAGGTCAACTCATCTGCACTGCTTATTTCACAGGCAATCTTCACTTTAGCACTTTCCTTTTTTATGTATCTGCATAATTCCCAACATTATAAGCACTTCCATGCAATCCACCAATCAGAGCAAAGTCATAAAGAACAAAAGAATTCCAGAGCAAGAAACCATTAGAATACATAGCATGATGAAGAAGCCAGTACAATACCAAACAGAGGGAGAGGAGTGTATTGCAGAAACATAGATGGTTTTCTCTCTGCTGAGGCCTCTTTTGCATTAATATTTATCCTAATTTGTAACAGCCCAGCCCACTAGCGATATTGTCCCCTCTGGGCCTAGGCCCTCACGGGTTTAAAACGGGTCACTAGGGTCTAAGGCTTGTTAACTTATATACTCAACATCCCTCTTGTGTTTTGCCGACGTGGGACTCTGTCTAAAGTCTAGGGTGTTACATATACCCCCTCTTATGGACTCAGCGTCCTCGCTGAGGTTTGCCCCACCGCATGGGATTCGCCTAAACTCAGCACTGAGGTTTGCCCCGCCTAACCGAGATTTGCCTAAACTTAGTTGAACTCTAACCCACCATCGGCATAGCCGACACAAGAGTGGCTCTGATACCACCTGTAACAGCCCAGCCCACTAGTGATATTGTCCGCTCTGGGCCTAGGCCCTCACAGGTTTAAAAAGCGTCACTAGGATCTAAGGGGTTGTTAACTTATATACCCAACATCCCTCTTGTGTTTTGCCGATGTGGGACTCTGTCTAAACTCTAGGGTGTTACATACACCCCCTCTTATGGATTCAGCGTCCTCGCTGAAGTTTGCCCAACCGCATAGGATTCGCCTAAACTCAGCACTGAGGTTTGCCCCGCCTAACCGTGATTTGCCTAAACTTAATTGAACTCTGACTCACCATCGGCATAGCCGACACAGGAGTGGCTCTGATACCATCTGTAACAGCTCAGCCCACTAGTGATATTGTCCGCTCTGGACCTAGACCCTCACGGGTTTAAAACGCGTCACTAGGGTCTAAGGGGTTGTTAACTTATATACCCAGCATCCCTCTTGTGTTTTGCCGATGTGGGACTCGGTCTAAAGTCTAGGGTGTTACATACACCCCCTCTTATGGACTCAGCGTCTTTGCCTACACTCAACACTGAGGTTTGCCCCGCCTAATCGGGATTTGCCTAAACTCAGTTGAACTCTGACCCACCATCAGCATGGCCGACACAAGAGTGGCTCTGATACCATTTGTAACAGCCCAGCCCACTAGTGATATTGTCCGCTCTGAGCCTAGGCCCTCGCAGGTTTAAAACGCGTCACTAGGGTCTAAGGGTGGTTAACTTATATACCCAGCATCCCTCTTGTGTTCTGCCGATGTGGGACTCTGTCTAAAGTTTAGGGGGTTACTTAATTAAACAAACATTTGTCATACCACATAGAAATAGATAAGATCATTTCTCCCCGTGGTTTTCTCTCCAAAGAAGGCTACTTATCTGTGGCTCATTGTCTACACTGTCAAAGCCAAATACATCCATCAAAGTACCACATATCAAAGGAAAAGGATCAGAATTAGAGTAAATATTTGAGACGGTGACAGGCACATTACAACTTTAGAAGCATGTTATACGTCAGTAAACCTTTGAAAAGGTAAAACAAAATGGGTATATGATTTTGAAGTCGAAAGTGAGAAGAAAAAATAAAAAAATAAAGTAGTTCAACAATTAGAAAAGATTTAGTAAGATTTATAAGAGGTGTCTGTGGTTGAGGTTAGACGAGTGAATGATAGATTGATGATTATTAAGTTGGTGGTTGGAGAGTGCACCCTAAACGTCGTTAGCGCCTATGCGCCGCATGTGGGCCTAGATGAGGAGGTTAAACGGCGCTTCTGGGAAGGATTAGATGAGATTGTGCGCCAGGTTCCGCCTGTTGAGAAGTTATTCATAGGAGGGGATTTCAATGGGCATATTGGGTCGACAGCAAGTGGATATGGCGAGGTGCACGGAGGCTTCGGTTTTGGAGAGAGGAACGGAGGAGGTACATCGGTGTTGGACTTCGCTAAGGCTTTTGGGTTGGTGATTGAGAACTCTAGCTTTCGGAAGAGGGAGGGGCATTTGGTTACTTTTCAAAATACGGTGGCGAAGACTCAGATTGACTATATCCTCCTCAGGAGGTGTGACAGAGGGTTGTGCAAGGATTGCAAGGTGATTCCGGGTGAGATACTCGTGACACAGCATAGGCTCTTGGTGATGGACGTTAGTATTATGTTAAAGAGGAGGAAAAGGTCTACCCGAGGAAGACCGAGAATCAGGTGGGGAGCCTTAACTAAGGATAAAGCCCAAGCGTTGGAGGGGCGGTTGTTGACTATGGGAGCTTGGAGGAGCAGTGATGACGCGAGCACTATGTGGTCAGCGACAGCAAACTGTATTAGGGAGGCTGCGAGAGGTGTTAGGGGTCTCGACGGGTGTCTCTGGTGGGCACAGAGGAGACTGGTGGTGGAATGAAGTGGTCCAAGGTAAAGTGGAAGCAAAGAAGGCGACGTACCTGAAGTTAGTGGGGAGCATAGGTGAGGAGGAGAGGCGAGCGTGCATGGAGAGGTATAAGGCAGCTAGGAAGGAGGCTAAGCTGGCGGTCAGGGAGGCTAAGACTGCGGCTTATGATCGTATGTACGAGGAATTGGGGAAAAAAGGTGGGAAGAAGTTATTCCGGCTGGCCAAGTTGAGAGAGAGGAAGGCTCGGGATTTGGACCAAGTGAGATGCATCAAGGACGAAGATGGTAGAGTACTGATGGAAGATGCCCAGATTAAGAGGAGATGGCAGACTTACTTTCATAAACTTCTGAATGAAGAAGGGGATCGGGATATTGTGCTAGGCGAATTGGAGCATGCCGAGAGTCACCGTGACTTTGGGTACTACATGCGTATAGAGGTTGAGGAGGTCGTGGGAGCTATGTGTAAGATGAGTAGGGGCAGAGCGACCGGGCCAGACGAGATTCTGGTGGAATTTTGGAAGTGTGTGGGGAGAGCAGGTTTGGAGTGGTTGACTAGGTTGTTTAAT